GCTGCTTTTGTCTGTTCGGCAGCCTGTTGCTCAGGGGAGGGGGCAGCCTGTTACTGGCAGGGGGGTGGGGGGGGCAGCGGGCGTGGGGAGGCACTTTTCCTCTGCCCGGCAGCTCTGCGGGACCCCAGTCGGAGCCGGCCCGAGGAGGAGGAGGATCCTAGGACCCAGGTGAGCGAGCCCCGGGAATGCTGCTGCGCATGTGCGGGAGTTGCCTCACCCCGTTCGTATCTAGGGATCCGACGTAAGTCGGATCCACGTAAGTCGGGGACTGCCTGTATACTGTGGGCAAAGCATGGGCTCACAAGAATTCCTCCATTGTTTTACCATGAGTGTCAAAACATTTGGGCTGCGTTTAGATTAGGTTATCTAAACTAGAACTCTGTAGTGTAGACCTGGTTTTTGGATTTAATGAAATACAAGACGCTAAAACCCCTTTCCCATGATGCTGTTGAAGTTGGAAGGACTGCTATTATAGATATCAACTTAACAAAAAACAGAAATCTTTCTCTGTGCGATTCTGTTGATTTTAGAATATCCTCTAGCTTCAAATGCTTACATAACACTTTAACTTCATACCATTCATTAAGAATAGCTTCTGTAACATTCTCAAGCGAATCTTTAGATATCAAATGATGAAAATGGTGAGTGAGCATCTTAATCTCAGAATCACCATAATTTCTTAAATCGCTACCGGTTGGCCACGAAACAGTATTGAATATGGAGCAGGCAGCAGATACTTCACAACGATTATTGCCCAAATATCTGTCATTTAACTTTTAAAGAGTATCCACCCCTGCCCAGCCCAACACCCCCCCCTTAGCGTGGCACCTGGAGGGTGGGGGCAACTACCCCTCCGTCCTTCATTACATCTCTGGAGTGGGGATGGGTGGGAGGAAGAAAGGGCCGTGCAGAGCCAGCACTCCAGCAGTCGCTCCCAGGAGCGGCTTGTATTGCCCAAATATCTGTCATTTAACTTTTAAAGAGTATCCACCCCTGCCCAGCCCAACACCCCCCCCTTAGCGTGGCACCTGGAGGGTGGGGGCAACTACCCCTCCGTCCTTCATTACATCTCTGGAGTGGGGATGGGTGGGAGGAAGAAAGGGCCGTGCAGAGCCAGCACTCCAGCAGTCGCTCCCAGGAGCGGCTTGCCAGTCGGCGGACAGCCCATCGGGAAATTTCCAGTATCCCGCCAGGCCAGTCCGCCCCTGGTGGGGAGGAGTGAATTGGCCAGCAGGGAACAGGACTCACCCGGGCAGTGCAGCTCCCAGGGCGCACGATCACGGCGAACCGAGTCAGTCCAGCTGCGGCTCACCACGCGCTTGACCAGCGCGCAGGAGCACGGACCGGGCTGCCCCTCCTCGGGCAGCTTGACCTTCTGCTCACAAACAGGGAGGAACTAATAGGGGAAGTAGAGGTGGGTGACAACCTGGGAAGCAGTGATCATGAGATGGTAGATTTCAGGATCCTGACCAAAGGAAGAAAAGAGAGTAGTAAAATACACACCTTGGACTTCAGAAAAGCAGATTTTGACTCCCTCAGAGAGCTGATGGGCAGAATCCCCTGGGATGTTAACATTAAGGGGAAAGGAGTCCAGGACAGCTGGCAGTATTTTAAAGAAGCCTTATTGAAGGCACAGAAAGAAGCCATCCCGACGCGTAGCAAGAGAGGCAAACATGGTAGGAGACCAGACTGGCCTACAGGGAAAATCCTTGGTGAACTTAAGCACAAAAAGGAAGCTTACAAAGAGTGGAAACTTGGACAAATGACCAGGGAGGAGTTTAAAGGTATAGCTCGAGAATGCCGGGGGGTTATCAGGAAGGTGAAAGCGCAAATGGAATTGCGACTGGCTAAGGATGTAAAGGATAACAAGAAAGGTTTCTACAGGCATGTTAACAAGAAGAAGGTGATCAGAGAGGGTGTGCGGCCCCTAATGGATGAAGGAGGTAACCTAGTGACAGATGATGTGGGGAAAGCTGAAGTACTCAATGCGTTCTTTGCCTCTGTATTCACGGACAAGGTCGGCTCCTGGACTTCTGCGCCAAGTGACGCAAGATGGGATGAAGATGGACAGCCCTTGGTG